ATGTTCGATGTCCTCTGATACATACGTTTCAAACACATCATTATATAAAAATAATAGCCGAAGATAGTACGAGGAAAAATCTAGAAATGTTGCACATTCCAAGCCGTTTCTTGGAAATTAAGAGATAATATTCTATGACTAGTCTTAAGAACCGCTTGAAAGGTCAGCCTTGCGTACAAAAGGATGCTTTATAAAATCAGTGGAACATCAATAACTTCAATCTGAAGGGTAAAAGAAAAAGTTAGAGTTCTCAAATATTTCAACATCTTCATTTGCGTCTTTGAGAGGAGTGACTGGGATTTTAAGGTTTTTAAGTCTGAAAATGTCTGCCTGTCAAAATAATATTTGCTACCTCTTTCCAAGCTTTTTAAATTCATGTTTTAGATTTAAAATTCATGCAATGGATTTAAAACCTATGCTTTGGATGGCGCCGTTTTCTATGCTTTTTAAAATCCGAGCCCCGCGAATTCGAACACCGCTAAAGCCGCGTCCGGCCACTAGATGCGGGAGCGACCTGTGCTCGCTACTTGTGGCCGTTACTAGTGGCTCGGCTCACGCACACTGGGCCACACATAGCCCGGCGACTAGTCGCGACCACAGACTGCGGGCGCCCTTTTCAGTACATTTTAAATCAGAGCCCTGCTCCTCAGACCACTGCTGACGCCACGACCGGCCATTAGCTGCGGGAGCGGCCTGCGCACGCTACTTGTGGCCTTCACTAGTGGCTCGGCTCACGAGCCAGGACGCACAGTGGGCCACACGTAGCCCGGCGACTAGTCGCAGCCACAGGCTGCGGGTGCCTTTTCAGTACATTTTAAATCAGAGCCCTGTTCACTGGACCACTGCTGACGCCGCGTCCGGTCACTAGATGCGGGAGCGGCCTGCGTTCGCTACTTGTGGCCGTTACTAGTGGCTCGGCTCACGCCCACACCGAGCGACAGCCGCCGGCACACAATGCCGCTGCATAATACACTCAATGGACACGAGTACCATGGAGCATTCGGTACTGCCACACGCGTGTGCATGGAGAGGCGGTAGAGGGGCTGGGGAACATTTTTAAAGGAGTCCGATCTTATGCAAAAAAGCATTTTATTCCCTTAAAAACGTTCAATCCCTGATTTTCCACTTTTTTAATATGATAATTTGGGAAATTGTTATACGACATTTGGATTAGCGGCTCTCCAGGCCATTTACCAACCGTGTAAATAATTACCAAAATCAAATGTATTTTTTAAATTTAATTATTAATATCATTTCATTTCCTTGGCTGCTTCATTCATTTAAAATATTTCATATGAAACTAAAAACGTTCAGTGGAAAATTGGCCCCAGAAAGGTTACAAACAAGGTTTTAATCGCTGATGTCGATGATAAATTTAACGATTGATTTCTTGCAATTAATTCTTTCGAGGTTTTCGTACTATTATCACAATTTCAACTGCAATTACATGATTCGTATTCCAATTCCAAAACCTTACTGGTACGTCTACTGGCACGTTGTGAAATTCCTCTGGTTACTAATCAAAGAGAGAACGAAGTGGCGACGACTTGTGGACAGGATGAGTCACAGAGGAGGCCCACACGTGGTCGCGACTAGTTTCTGATTCCGGTGACTGGTGACCAGCGGCTATACTGTACGCCAGTAGTGGCCCATTGTGAACCCGACCTCATTGATGGGTTGTGATGTAAGCAATACTAAAATGCTTCATAGTAGTAGTTAATACTGACGATAAAAAATGCTATAAAACAGGCATGTCAAGGAAGCCGGCAAGGTAACTAGCTTTCTAGTGTTCGCGAGCACTGTGTCCAGAGCAACTGATGCGTGGTTGAAAAGTAAGAGTTGTACTAAATGTTCCCAGGAGGCAGTATGCTACCACATACCTAGCACCATAACGACCTCTTGGAGACGTCTGATATTGCCCCAACAGCGATGTTAATTCACATTTCGTCTACTAAACGAAATCAATGATCCATTGAAATGAAATATATCAGTCTAATTTTAAATTGCCAATTGAGAATAAAATGAAACATCTTGAATTGAGAATTTGGTTTCGTCATCACGTTTACTTAAGAGCAATAATTATTGTATTACTTTCCTACATTTAGTTTAGGAGATTTAACAGATAAAGCTTCTTATCTATTTAAAGAGCTGCCCACCGATCAGAGATACGTGCTAATTTATTTCACTTTATTGCTACATTCAACAAATCACAACAGGATGATTTAATAAAATATAACACAAGACAAAAGCAAACAAAGAACCCCCACTTTAAAAATATTCCTGCCCCTTGACAAACATGCTTTTTATTAGATAATTTAAAAATAAAACAAACACGGTAAAAAAATAAGTAGTAAAGTTTATAAACAAAATCCACATCTCGATTGTTTGATGGCAATAGCGTATAGGACTATTATAGTTACCTAGTTACTAGGGGGCGGATTAGGATGACCTAAAACATTACCAAAATGATCAATAAATTTCTCTTAAAATTCTTTAAAAATGTCCTAAAAATAGAGAAAAATGACCGAAAACAATTGACCAAAACCACTTGAGATAAACAACTCAAGTAGTTTGGTGTGTTACTGATGTAATCGACGCCTTTTCCTGTTGTTCAAGTGAACTCAGCTTGCAAACATTTGGTTTGGACTGTTCTTTAAAAGAAAGTCTCTGCCTACATTTATCACGAAATCGGTCGACCTGACAATGGCGCCGATGGGAATCACGGGAACCTTAGATGACACTCACAACAGCTGACATTACAATATATGAGTGAAGAAATCAAATATGCTTCTCAGGAATTCATGGTGAGCATTTGTTGCAACTCGTAAATATTGTGTGAAGAAAGTACCATTAGAATAATTTTAAAATCGATGAAATCTGCAAAAAAAAATAAAAAAAGCCTTGGAAATAACGTAAAAAGGTAAAAAATGACTGATTAGTATTTTTATTATTATAAATTATTATTATTATTATTATTATTATTATTATTATTATTATTATTATTATTATTATTATTCGTATTTTTCTTTATGATATTGACGAAAAATGAAACAAAAAAATAACAAGATAAAATAGGTCATTTTATTTTGTCTCAACATGAAATGAATTTCTAAGCGACATTGTTCTAAAGTGAAAAGAAAAAATAACATTTCATTAAAATCCACCCCCTAGTTATAACGCAAGTCCGCTGGTCGAAAGCCGTGTATTTTCAAGGGCCAAATTTAATAATAATAATAATAATAATAATAATAATAATAATAATAATAATAATAATAATAATAATAACAATAAATTCTTCGGACGGTTTCCGAAGGAGAAGTAATGCGGTCTGCCCCATATTGTAGATTTACTACATAGATCTTCAAACCTAAAATAAGCCTCTCAAGACAAATTTTAGTCCCTTGTTTAGTCGTGCGAGGATACTTTTTTCGCTGCTAGTTGGCGAAAGGAGCGTAACAAAATTTGCGAGGTTAAGCGGAAGAGCAGGCCTGATGACGTGAGCCTCGCCACTAAAATAAAACATCACTGAATATGATATTTCGAGTACGCTCCGCACTATCTCCCATTCAGCGTGTACCCCTCTTTCTGGATTTAGAGGGGAAATTAGAGCGGCCTGAGGGGAAGTTGCCTCTGCTCGCAGGATATCCGGGTAGCTCCTGTGGGCATACCTGTTGCAACATACCGTTCTTAACTCAAAATACATAGCCTTCGAGTTGTGCCAGTGGGCAGCCTATTATATCGTGACACGTAGCGTTGTATACAGACTATTCGTGGGGCAGGAAATAAGGTAACTCCATAAAATATTATCGTGAACACTTAACATTAAGACCTATCATCAAAAGTAAACAAAATCCCTTCAATTTATTTCTTGTGTTTCAAATTCCAATGGAAAGCAAACGAGATTCATTGACAAATTTAGAAGAAAAAAAATCTACTTGATGTTCCATAAATGTACTGTACTCTTTTTTATCTACTTATAAAATATAGTTATGGACGATGATAAAAAAAGATGCATTTTTAAATGTACGTAATATACGGCTATTAGGTTAAATACTCGTACGACTGAAATAATTATATGAGTTGTCATTGCCAACAATATTATTTATTACAATAGCAGCTTTTGATAGATTAGCTATCATCATAATAAACAATATTGTTGGCAATGACGACTCATATAATTATTTCATTTTAAATGCCAACGAAAACTCACCAGAATACCAATAAATATGGTAGGCTATCTGAAATGCGTAGAACGTATTTAAACGAAGTACATTTTTAAGAGGACATGCCAAAAGAGAGCGGATATGTCGGAAGACTATAAATTCCAAGACAGCTCGCAAATTTAGGAAGGTTAATTACGCAGTAAATTTATAAAAGAACGAGGGGAAAATGGAACAGAAATAAGAGTGAACAAGAAAAGAAAAGAAATATATATAAAAAACAGACAAAGAAGTAAAATATCAAAGAAGAATAAAATAATGGCGGACAAGGACGTTTGCCGACTGGCCGGGAGAACCAGCCTGACCCTGGACAGTGGACAGAATAACTCCTCAATTTTGCGTTTACAGCTTTCGCATTACGAACACAGAAGCGAATTCTAACCGACCCTGGCGAGTTCTCACGCGAACACTTGCGCAAATCTCCTTTTAGAGGTCAGGGAATCCCACGTCTGAAACCGCCCCCTCCTGCCCCCTCCTTCCCTCCCCCCGTCAAGATTCCCAAAGGCCTTGTCTTGCACATCCAGCATTTATAGGTCATCGACCAGAGGCGCAAACACTATCGAAGCACCGACGGCAAGCGAACGCATTCAATTTCGCCGGCGTGTCTCGACCTTGGGCCCTTTGTGCCTGGCCTCGGCCGGCGGCGGTTCGCCCTCGCCCCCGCCGCCGCCGCCGCCCCCGCCCCCGGCGCGGGGGCCTGCTCCTCCGCCTCCACCGCGCGCCGGCGCGGCACGGTCCCCGCTGCCGCCTGCTCCCGCGCCGCCTCCGCCTCCGCCGCCAGTCGAGTGGCGCTCGCGCGTTGCCGCAGTCGCATCGCAGCGCGAGTGCAGCGAGGACCGGCGAGGACGCTCGGCGAGGACGCGAAACCTCTGACGCAGCGCCGCCGCCCACGGCGGGCGCGACCGCGACCTCGGGCGGGGTCGAGACGAGACACGCCGCTCGCTCATCACTGTACGTATGCGATTCCCTTTTCCGCCACTCATCTGCCATTCTTAAACAGTGTTTATAACCTACCAAAGCTCTCTGTATTGTGCTGACGTGTATGTAGAATGTTGAACATGTCATTCCACGTCGTGAGAATGTCGATTTTGGTTCCAAAAAGTACGTATTATTTCCAACGTCCAAAAAAAAATTACTTTGTGGTGTCCTTTGGAATCAATGCAAATGATGCCGTCGTATGTCATGGTGAACATGGAAAATAAAGCGAGTGTGAGCGTAGAACACCAGTTCGCGTTCCAACTCGGAGCGCCTTGCACCCGTGGGTTCGCCAGGCGGCGATTCGCCGTTCCGCGACGTGCCAGGGACGGGCACGAACTCCTCCGGCACGAATCTCCCCGCATGTAGTTGCGCCCGGCGGAAATGTTGCGCGAACTGTGAACATAATTGGCGTTTTGGGGCAGAGGAGGAATGCTGTTCGCGTGTTGTTAGAAGCCTCAGCGACCGAAAGTGAAACGAGATTTAAAATTCTCGCGTGTGATCGCCGTACGAGTAGATTTCGCAGTGTCAGATATTTTGTGGCATTCTTCAAGAGATACGCCGATGTAATTGTTTCTTTGTGAAGGTCACAAATTAGTGTCTACCGATAATTTCTGCGTTTACAGCGCAAATGTCAGACACGCTGCTTTTATCTAAAGTACATATTAGATAGATTTATCTGTAAATATTCACCAGATTTCAGCATGGTGATGTTTAAATGTATTCTACAGTTGAGATAGAACTATCATTGCAATGCTAATTAACACGAAACTGCCGGTATATTTTTTTATGATATTGCCTATCTTACCATTTTGACCTTTTCAACTGGCCATAAAATAGTAACATTTGACGCCTTGCAACGCCATTCCTTGCCAGTGCCGCGAGCGCGCCAGCAGCGCGAAAGAAGAAACCAAAGTTTGGCGACCCCTCGCCAAAGAAAAGGCGCTTCGCGAACTATGAAGATAATTGGGCGGCCGCGGCGCGACCTTCAGGCGCGCTTGTGAATGCCCTGGGCTAAACTCGGGGCTCGGGCGCGTTGCTTTGGCGGCTCGCGTCCACTTGCTAAACCGCTCGCGATCCGCCTTTGTGCCCGGCGCGACGTGTCGTCGGCCGCATGACAGCGCGGGTCGGAGCGAGAGGCCTTCGGCGCGCGGTTCCCGGAACGGCCGTTGCGTCACGAGGTGGAGCTGGCGACGCACGCGCTTCCGCCGCGCGCGGGGTGGAAACCGCCGCGGTTGCAGAACGCGCAGCCGCCGCCGCCACCGCCGCTGCAACCACCAGCCACGCGTTCGCTGAGCAGCGCTTCTCTATATTCTTAGTCCGTTCGTTTTCGTAATGTCACACTCTGTGGTGAAACAAATCCCATTGACTTCCAAGGCGTCATAAGGGGTTTGATTGATTGGTGTTTGCGGACGCGTCAGCTGCCAAGGTTATTAGTTTCGTAAGAGCAGTGCTTGTTTTTATGTGACTTCCCGCTAAAGGCGCTATCCGGCTCCAACGTACACGTCAGGGTTTCCCCAACCACGTGTCTCCCAACAGCGCGCACCGCCCCAGCCGGGAAACTTAACTCCTGATTGGTCTCCCGACACATGTGATAATGAAGTACATGTGCGTGTGTTTGTAAGTATGGGATATGACAAGGAAGAAGAAGGAAAGATCGCGTTTGGTCCTTGGCCCGTTTGTTTGGGTACTGCTCCGGCATTCGCCTGGTGTTGATCGGAAAAAACATGCAGAACTACGGATCACAGTAGCCGGCCGCTAGAATTCTCCTCCAGGCAGCGGCTGAATTCCACATATCTACGTATCTAGTGTCGGAAATCCTGCCGCCGTGGGGACTCGAACCCTAGGACCTCCCGATAACAGGTACTGCAGTGACATCAGTTGATGCCCTGAGCCATTTCAGCCGGTACACGGGAAGGGGGGGGGGATAAGTTCCCCTTCTCAAATCCAGGTGTGCATCGCTCTGTAAAATATCCTTCCCTCAGAGACCTCGCCCCGTGGCTGCAATTAATATCATTGTCTTGCATGGCAATTGCAAGGGAAAGTGTGGATGTGCGAGATCATCCTCGAATAAAATTCTTTAAATACTGAAATTTTGTTGTTCTATGTGAACTCCAATGGTGACATAATTGTAAACAATCTGTTCTCTTCAGTTATGGTCAATAACGTCTTTTTTAAACTTCAGTAAAAGAAACCGTTCATTAAATGAGCAAACATGCCTCTACAGTAAAGTTTTATTGTAACTTGTTTCTATAGATTTATGGATTCAGGAATTTAAGAACTTAACAATTCTGCCTGACGGTTACAAAAGAGACCACAAAACTCACAGGTTCTGTGAATATTCTGTACTTATTTTCCTGGCACGTGTGTCAGCAACTGTTTTGTACAACGCATAACTAAGATTTCACAAAATTAGGTGCGCCCCAAACAGCAAGAAGCTTATCAACCAGTGCTTATCTACCAGTGACTGAAGAGAAGTGAAATGTTTTCATTCAGAATACAATTTCCTCTGTTTCTTTGTTCAATAAAAATCTCTCCATTAAGTTTTAAATATCACAGGTCTATTAATGCTAGAGGCACTTGCTTCTTCTTCCGTACAAATTGCGCAATGTGTTGCGTGAAAATGAGCAACTGAGCCGTCTGTCCCGTCGGACCCGTCGCCTCTACCCTCCCTGACCTTGAATAGTCACCGCTCTTGAGCTCTCGCCCTCCGCTCTGACAGCTGGTAGCAGCGCTTTGCTTCCTACCCGCATTTCCGATGAGCCCTGGTATAGTACATAAAAATAGTCCTTTTTGCCCCCCCCCCCCACATTACATAACTTTCTCCATACTACGTAATATATCGCTCCTTATATAGGTACGTATACGAGAAGTCGTGCTTTGTTTTAGCCGCTTTGCAAATAACTCTAGTGCTTTTTTCTCTGTCCACTAGATCGTGTTTCAAGATTAGTTTAGGTATCTCATAAGTTGATTTTTCTCTGAGAAAACGATTTACAAAATCGGTATCTTGGAGATAATACTGTACGAATTATGTTATTCAGAGCTGCACTAATTTGAACAACTGAGTAATAAATATCAACTGGTTCTGCGTATCACAATGTTAATAATTGGTTTTGCAAAACTACAATAATTTTAACAACCCGTTCGCACGAACCGGAGCGGACCGACTCAACAACAGCATTGGTGAAAACACAGTGTGGAGAATATTACTTTTGAATTAGACAGTTAGCATCTGGAATTACAAACTTCAATTTTATTTTATTACTAAACTAATATTTCTTCCAATTCCTTCAGCCCTCGTTCCTGGGAATCCCCCATCCCCCACTATCTTTAGATCTTTTCACTAATCCTAATCTCTGAGTTATCCATTCTTTTTTCGTTGTTATTTTTAGCGTTCATTAGTTTATGACGCACAAAGTACTCTTTGATTTGTGGATTTTATAAGAGATACTATGTAAATGTCTAATTACGTTTTAAAGATTTCCCCCAAGTTGAACTAAAATTCATTACAGAAGACCTGTCGTCAAAAATTGGAGAAATATAATTTTTCTAGCAATACCAATTCTCGAATATATATATAAAACAGGGTTTAAATTTGATGTACTTTTGAGGCATTTTAATACAAATAAACTATATACTCGTAAGAAGTTGGACCTGTGCTAACATGCTGAACCTGATACATCTTTATTTTAAAAGTGAAAATAGTATCATATTCGAACTTAATTTTGATTTGCCAGCTCGTGTGTTACATTGCATACGTTGTCCCGGGTCTATACAATGATAAAATTGTAATATTGCTAAGCGTTTCTGTACAAATAAAAATTACGTGTGATTAAATTGTTCATAAAATATAATAGTTTACATAGATATCGAGATTCTGCCCGTTTCTGTGCTCTGAAACGGTGGTGCCCAGAAAAGCACGCATACGGGGGTTGGGTCCTATTGTCTACTTCTCCTAAGACTTTTACCTGGCTCCCCAAAAAGGCATAGCTCGATTGCATCCCGTTACAGTTTTCCTCTAAAGTGCAAGGAAGAGCTCTCCCAGGTATCAGTGTTTCCAAGATCGCCTTTCTTTATTTGTTCATATTTGAAAACCATGAAGAGAAAAATAACAAATACTCCTTTTATAATACTGTGTCGAGCTCTGGTAAGTAGAGTAGCCGCTGGACAAGTTCTAACACGTTCAGTTACATTTCAGCTGTCTGTGTGCCAAGTTACGCCTCGCTGGTTCTGACTGTATTCTTTCTATGAGCGTTTATAATGTTCAAGAAAATAGAGAACGCCGCCAATTGTGAAATTAGGGTTGTGATTAGATTTCTTAACTCAAGAAATGTGAAACCTTGCGATATTCATCGTCAACTGAAGGAGGTGTATGGAGACAATGTTATGGATGAGTGATCTGTTCGGCGTTGGTGTCGTAATTTCAGCTCGGGCAGAGAGAACACTCATGACGACGAGAGTACCGGACGGCCGTTAGTCATTACGGACGAACCGCTGAGTTCAATTAACGAATTCGAGGGCCGATCGGCATGTGACAATTGATGAGTTCAGTGAAAATGTTCGTAATATTTCACAAACACTTCTTCATGAAATTGTTAAGGACCAACTTCATTATGCGAAGATTCGTATGCTTACTGACGAACACAAAACCACCCCACGCCTCATATGGCTCGGATAACAGAACAACTTGTGCAACAATTCAAATGGGAAACTTTCAACCATCCACCCTTCAGCTCAGACTTGCCACAGTCAGATTTTCATATGTTTATAAAGCTCAAGGACGTTTTGACAGGAAAGAAATTTGAAAGCGATGAAGAACTGAAAGCAGCTGTGACTTCGTAACTCAATACACTGGCAACAGAGGAGTTCGACGCTGGGATACAAAAATTCGTCACACGTTATGACAAATGCTTAAACTTGCGAGGTATGTGGAGAAGTAGTTTAAAGTACGTTCTTTACAAATAAAACATTAATAT